ATATCCGATTTTTTGGCATGTACATTCACTTTAGACACGACTGGTATCCGATATCTGTGTTTACATTAATTCCCACCCAAAAGGATTGTCTGCAGTGATCGCTTTACTATGCAAATGGTAGACCCTCGGGTTTTAAATGGTCGTGCTATTCAAATTATTTATATAATTAACATCGAATGGCCAAATTTATTATTTGCCAGCATGGACAACGGCTGTCATGGATGTTTTGCAGCACAAAATCTGACTGAACGGATAAAGACTATAAAATAACGGTAATTTTAATTTGTTAGACTATTTTATCTACAGCTCGTTAGAGGTAGAATTCTTTAGTGAAATAAAGATGATATTTATTGAAATGAATTGATCTGTGTCAGATGTGAGCGAAAGATTGGATTTTTTGTGCCAGTGTAAACGCAGCCTCAGTCACGGCGTCATCAAACTACGCCTTTGTCTCTTTGTTTATTTTGAATACGCGCCCTCTAGCGGCGAAAATTACATATTGTGCCTTTAAGCAGTATTATATGTACTACTGTAGTTTTTATTAATGTTTTGAATAATTAGCTTTTATTTTTATATTTTTTAGTTATGTATTCATTTTAATTTTAGCATAAGTTTTAGTATTTTTTTATGTGCTGTTTTCGTTTTTAGTATTTTTATTAAGCTTTAATGTTTCAGTTTTAGTAAATTTAGTACTTCAACTTTATTTCAGTTAGTTGCCAAAGCAACTTTTCTGTTAATTTACCTTTTAAGTTGAATAATAATTTAGCAATAATTTTCTGTTTAACGTTTTTCATCTAATATTTAAATTTTATTTTATTTCAGCAGTTAACAGAAATTATTTTAATAGATTTCGTTTTAGTTAACAAAACAACACTGAATTTGAGGTGTTGTTGATACAGTGTGAATTGTGCAGGACAAGTTATACACCAAAGTTTAGAGGTGTGTAGTCTTTTAGTATTTTTGACGAAGAAAAGAGTTGGGAATAAAACACAATTCTGTTGCAAAATGATGAGATAATTTCAATAGTGAATAATTTTAAAACAATTCTCATAAAAGTAGTTTACCCATACTTTAAAATAATTTTCGAGTGATTCATTTTTTTTTTTTTTTTGAGGCAACATAAATTAAATTGAACAAAGGGTATAGCAAACAGAACTGGAAATAAGGAGGATTAGGAAGTTTATTGCAAATTGCGAAATCAAGTAACTAAAATTAATAGGAAAAAGAAAAGTATGTTTTATAAAGTAAAAATAAGTGAATATAAATATGATGGCAAAAAATTGTGGAATATTCTTAATGAAGTAATGGGTAGGAAATCAGGTCAAACTCCTTTTTTTATATGAAAAATATGAAATTGCTGATTACTTTAATGACTTTTTCATAAATAAAGTACATAAACTAAGAGAAGAAATGTTAACTGATAATATTCCATCAAGGGAAAGTCGAATTTAAAAAATAATAAGTGATAAGCCAGCCCAATGCTTTGAATTGAACAAAGTAAATGTACAACAAGTGGAACAAAAATGATCAACTATAAATATAGATAAACCATCGGGAATGGATAACTTAGATGGTCGCCTTGTAAAATTAGCAGCCAACTATTTGGCAGAAACAGTTTGCCACATCTTTAATATTAGTATTAAAAAAGGGATCTTTCCTTTAGCTTGGAAAGAAGCAAAGGTTACTCCTCTACAGAAAATGCAGCACTGAGTTGTAATGGTGCTAATAGTCGACCAATAAGTTTACTGCCAGTTCTTAGTAAAGTGTTTGAAACGATAGTCTGTGAACAAATTCAATTCTATATAATAATAATAATTTATTCTCTGATTTTCAGCATGCACATATCGAGAAGGACATTCAACAGGAACAGCATTAACACAGATGACAGATGATTGTTTAGTACAGATTGATGATAATAATTTAGTAGGAGCAGTATTGTTATATTTAGCTCCGCTTTTGCTGTATTGGATCATAAATTATTGCTGGAAAAATTGAAATGTTATAAATTTACTTCTCAGACTGTACATTGGTTTAAAAGTTATCTGACTAATAGGAGGCGATGTGTATTTTATAATGGAAGTTATTCGGAAATGAAAGAGTTGCAATTTGGTGTGCCTCAAGGAAGTTGTTTAGGACCATTGTTATTTTCTATTTTTACCAATGATCTTCCTTTGGTTTTAAAGTGTGCAAGGACAGTTATGTACGTAGATGATACAACATTATATCTACCAGCAACATCAATTGAAAAATGATCTGTTGATTTAGATGAGGAGTAACAGTTAGTGGTAAAGTGGGTATGGAATAATAAGATGGTTCTAAATTTGACAAAAACCAAAAGTATTATGTTTGGATCAAATTCTAAACTTAAACTAAAACCACAATTAAATTTGTCTGTAAAAAGTGTGCCTTTTGAACAGGTAGAGGAAATCAGACTTCTTGGAGTTATGCTAGACAGTAGGCTGAAGTGGTCAAAACAGATAGAAAATATGGTAATAGTTATGGGAAGAGGTCTATCAGTTATTAAGAGATGTGCAAAATTTTTATTGCATCTCTCAAATTGTGCAAACAATGGTTCTTACTTATTTAGACTACTGTCCAGTGGTGTGGTCGAGTACATCAAGTAAAGATTTAGAAAAATTACAGTTAGTCCAGAATAGAGCTGCACGACTTACTCTGAACTGTAATAGAAGGGTTAATATTATGAGACTGCACAAAATTCTAGGTTGGCTACTTGTGAAGGATAGGACAATTGTTTCTCTGCTTTGTTTTATAAGAAATATTTCAGTGTCTAGAGTGTACTGTCAACTTTTGTGTAGTAGTGCTAGTCATAATTTTAACACCAGGCATTCATCAAAAAGGTATTTTTTGCTTCCTGTTTCAAAAACGAATGCAAAGCAACAGACTGTAATGTATAGAGGAATGAAAACATGGAATGATTTGCCATCGGATATTAAATGTTTTTTAATAAGTAAAATTACGTTTAAAAACCGTAAAGATACATTTAATGGCACAGTATACAGTAAATTGTTGATTTTGGTAGTGGTAATGGGGATCCAAATAAACAAATAATTAACTATATTTTAAACCAAAACCTAAACAAACAAAAGAAATGTGGTAATATATTTAATTCATTAATTTATTTTTAGAAAATACTACTAACAAAACTCCTAATATGTATCTTTAACTACATGTTGTCATATGAGCAATCACTCAATAACTACACTGATTTAAGTCTTATGAGCAAAAAGGTGGTTGTAAGCTGCATGTGTTTGATTTATTTAAAAGAACCAGTCATTTGTTTAGCAATCATTTGGACTACAATGGCTTCACTATGTTTATGTTTATATTTATATTTTAACTAAAAAGCTCCTTCTTTTAGGGCTGCAAAACGATTAATCGTGATTAATCGATTCAAAACAAAAGTTTATGTTTACATACTATATGTGTGTGTACTGTGTATATTTATTATGTATATATAAATACAAACATATATGTATATATATATATATTTTTTTTTGTATGTAAACACTTGTATATAATTTATATTATATATAAATATAAATATTTGATATATAAATCTAACATATTTTTTCTTAATATATACATATGTGTGTGTATATATGTATACATAATAAATGCGATTAATCTTTTTGCAGCCCTACTTCTTATAAGATTAATTCTTTTCAGGAATTGTAAGATTCACACTGTAGATTCAGTAGTGTTATAGATTCTGAATAAGAACTGGTTCTTGATTCCTAATATTACTAAAATACTCAATTTGAGCAATAATAATGTAACCTTGTAGATAGTCCCGTCCCAAACTCACGGCACTGGTTAACTCAGAGGTCACTCACCCCAGGACATCCCTGTGTGTGTGCAGGTGTATACCTCCCACCCCGCCCCACCACGGCCCTCACCTGTGTGTTGCGGTGCTTCCCTTGTGAGCCGACCTGGGCCGGCAGCCCCTTCTTGCACCGCCCGCCGACCCGGCCCATGGTCACCATGACGCGCTCCAAAACTTTCCAGGCGTACCTGCCCAGCTGCCACCGCACCTACAGCTGCATCCACTGCAGAGCACACCTCGCCAACCATGACGAGCTCATCTCCAAGGTGATTAATGAGCCAAGAATTAACGACCTGACAACAGCTGCAGGAACCGGGTGTGAACAAACATGTTTGTTAAGCATATGAAGCTCACAGATTAGAAGATCAACACATGCTGTTTAATATCACATCAGATAACAAAGCAGATACTGTAGTTTCAGATTAACATTAGGACGTGATATTATATGCAGCTCTCTAAGGAATGTGTCTCTTTTTTTTTCTTTTAGTCGTTTCAAGGAAGTCAGGGCAGAGCATATCTGTTCAACTCTGTGTAAGTTGTTTCTGTGTTTTTACATGGGTATTTGATTGTACAGACAGTTATGGTATTTGAAGAAGTGGTGTGTTTATACACTACCTTTCAAAAGTTTTTTTTTCATGTTTTTGAAAGAAGTATATTATGTTCATTTATTTGATTGAAAATACAGAGAAAAACGTAAAATTTGAAATATTATTATAATTTAAAATAACTGTTTTCTATTTTAATGTAATTTAAAAAATATAATTTAGTCCTGTGATGGCAAAGCTGAATTTTCAGCATCATTACTCCAGTCTTCAGTGTCACATGATCCTTCATAAATCATTCTAATATGCTGATTTGCTGCTCAAGCGACATTTATTATTATTATCAATGTTGAAAACAGATGTGCTGCTTAAATTTTTTTGGAAACCTTGATACACATAATTTTTTTGTGATTCTTTGATGAAAAGAAAATTCAAAAGAACATCATTTATTTAAAATACAAATCTTTTGTGACAATAGCTATGTTTCCATCCACCTATTTTTATGCAAATTGTAGGACACCGCAAAAAAAACACTGCATGGAAATGGCAAAATGTACGTAAATTCTAAAAATGCACATACAAATCTTTAGTCTGATTTTTTTTATTTGTTAAGAAGAAATAACAAATAATGGACACACATTTACCAAATAAATTTCTTGATGGGCATCAAAAAAGTCACATGGCTTTGCCTTAAACAGATCATGTGATTGGATAACTAACCAGTGCACCGATCTCATCGCACCTCATCTCAAAAATTATTTTAATAATTTTGAAATGCCTGAGCCAAAGTCTGTCATCAGAATGATTTGGTATAATCAAAACTGTCTCACACGATTACATTCATAAACATCAGGCATCCGAACACAAGATAACATGACAATGTTTGTTATTGCATGTTGTCTGCATGCAAGTAATTTATTATGTAGGCAAAAACAGCCACAGGCTTGCAGCAACTTCCATTTTTGGGTGGAAACATAGCTAATGCTAAAGTCTTGATCAATTTAATGCATCCACGGTAAATAAAAGTATTATTTTCTTAAAAAAATTTTAAAAAAAAGTCTTACTGACCCCAAGCTTTTGAATGTTAGTATATAAACTCATGTCTACTATGTTTCCACAAACCTAACTGTAGCTTCCTGTGCATGACTGTGTCTCACTGGTCTCGTCAGGGTGAACGTGGGATGTGGTCCTGCAGAGGAGAGGGTTCTGCTCACAGGCCTTCACGCAGTGGCAGACATCTACTGCGAAAACTGCAAAACCACACTGGGGTGGAAATATGTAAGAAAACACTCACAACACATGGAAAGTTAAAGGACATTTACATAAAACTGACATCACATCATAACACAGGTCATTTACATGTTACAAGAGAGGCGGTGGAAGATGGTTATACAACTAAATTATGACTGTACAAGATGCTGTAGCTTACATTATTGGACATTAGTTCACCCAAAAATGAAAATATTGACTTACTTTCTTCTGTGGAGAACAAAAGAGGATGTTCGAAGAATGTTTTAACTGTTGTTGTCCATATAATGAAGAAAGCAAGTCGTGCATACATGAGAGTGAGTAAATGAAGACTGAATTTTCATTTTTGGGTGAACTATCCATAGAAACTAGTTTAACAAATAACCTACTTGGAGCCTCATTTACCTGAAGAAACTGAATGTGCTTGCATTGACCAAACAAGTCATGGACACTTTGAGATAATAGCACATTTTTAATATGCACGGCTTTGCAAGTTTAAGCTTGCTCATAAAGTCTTGTCTAAGCAGGACACATTCCTTGCATGGTGTCCGTTTTTAATCAGCAGCTGTGCCGCATGCCAATTGGTTTTTTTCAGCACTGGTGGATTTCCGGTCACCCTTGACAAACACCAGTAAGCACATAAACAAGTATACGTTCCCATAGTGGCCTGGTTATTTATAAGCATGTCAGATATTTATGTCAATGTGAATGCAGACGTTTCAGAGTAGCAAGGAAGTTTGACCCAGTGCCCTTCTCCAGAAATCTGATGAGTGCTCCCTGCTGCCTGCATCCATCAGCTATAAAAAGAAAAGACAAACAGGATATTAAATGCATTAGTGAAACTTTTTTGTCCTACCTATTTATAAAAAAAATACATTAAAAAGCCATTAATGTCAGGGATAAAACTGTCCTGATACAATAATAAAGAAATAGATCCTCATTATAGGAATGAAATTCTTGAAAAGAAAACCTTAAGTTGTTTTTGACATTATCTTTTATTATTATTTCCAAAATGCAGGGGGAAAAAATAAAAGATGACACTTTAAAATAAGGTTCCATTTGTTAACATTGCTTAACGACATTAGTTAACATAAACTTACAATGAAAAATACTTCTGAAGCATTTATAAGTTAATGTTGATTCCAACATTTACTCATACATTATTAAAATAATCATATCTATTAATGTTATTTAATGGACCTGAGCTAACATGTACTAACAATGAACAGCTGTATTTTTCATAACTAATGTTAACAAAGATTAATAAATATCTTAACAAATGTATTGCCCACTGTTAATGTTAGTTATGCATTAAATATAGTAAAAAAAAAATGGAACCTTATTGTAAAGTGTTACCAAATAAGATAAATAAAAATGGAAATTATATCATAGGACACCTGCAGACATAATTGACATAATTTGATTTATGATAGGGCAAGGCAAGTTCAGGTTGTAAAAATGTCATTTGGTGCAACTCTCCATAAAACATAATATTTTAATTTAATAATTCATGATATTTGAAAAACAAAAATTTGCCTTGAAAAGTATATGTAAAAAAAAAAGTCTTTATTTTTTTAAATAATGATTAACATGTGTAATCTCAAATGTATGGTGGAATGAAAATATGCTATTACTTTTATTTGATGGTTACACCACATTAAAGAGTCATTAAAGAGATAGTTCACCCAAAAATGAAAATTCTGTCATTAATTACTCACCCTCATGTCATTCCAAACCCGTAAGTCCTTCATTCATCTTCAGAACACAAAGATATTTTTTATGAAATCCGAGAGTTTTCTGACCCTGCATAGACCGCAACATAATTGAAACGTTCAAGGCCCAGAAAGGTAGTAAGGACACCATTAAAATAGTCCATGTGACATCAGTGATTCAACCTTAATTTTATGAAGCTACTTTTTGTGTACAAAGAAAACAAAAGTAACGACTTTATTTAACAATTTCTTCTCCACCACGTCTTCACGAAAGTATGATGCACGCGTGTGCATTCCTCTACTGAAAACTAGGGATGCACCGATACCACTTTTTCCAGTACTTGCCCAATACGATACTTTTATTTTTGGTACTTGCCGATACCGAGTACCGATACCAATATTATTATTGCATTTGTACATTTTTTGAGAAATGGATATTCACTCAACAAGCTCGCGCATCTGCGCCGCCGTGTGCTCAATCCACTCAGCGTGCTTTGTTTATCAGCTGGCGCACATCAGCTATACAGGCGTTAATACTGAATGTTTAACGTTATATTTGTTGCATACATATAATAGACATCCTTAACTTCATTCTGCTGTCTGTTGTTCTGTTGTTGGTGTTTCTTTGTCTGAATATGGCGCTTATCACATGCTGTGTGGTATCTGCGTTTGGTATCGGGGCATTTTAACGAGTATGAGTACGAGTACAGGAGCTCAGTATCGGGCCCTACTGTATGCATCCCTACTGAAAACAAATCACAGCGTATCTGGGTTCTACGTCATGTGTCATGGTGCTGTCGTGAACGCACGTCGAAGACTGACATGGAAGAGAAGAAATTGTTAAATATCGTCATTTTTTTATTTATTTTTTTTGCGCACAAAAAGTATTCTCGTAGCTTCATAAAATTATGGTTGAACCCCTGATGTCACATGGATTATTTTAACAATGTCCTTACTACCTTTATGGGCCTTGAATATGGTAGTTGCATTGCAGTCTATGCAGTGTCAGAAAGCTCTCGGTTTTCATCAAAAATATCTTAGTTTGTGTTCTGAAGATGAATGAAGGTCTTACGGGTTTGGAACGACATGAGGGTGAGAAATAAATGACAGAATTTGACAAATTTTACAAATACAAATACCTTTACAAACCTTTACCTATACCTTTAAATTGTAACTTTACTTGAAAATGGCATTGAAAAAAGTCAAAACTATATGAAATCAAAATTAATGCTCTTTTAAAGATTTGCTGACCTATAAATGATAACAAGTTTCATATCCAAGTTAGTCCTGCGGTCAATATCGTTTCTCGCTTTCCTCCTGCCCCTAGGAACATGCCTTTGAGAGCAGTCAGAAGTACAAGGAAGGCAAGTTCATTATCGAGCTCGCCCACATGATCAAGGACAACGGCTGGGACTGAGCGAGCGTCCTGGAGAGAGCAACGGGTGGATGGTGAATGTGTGGGTGAATGACTGACTTTGGTTTGCCATTACCCTCTTAAACCCTCTTCTACCCTCCATCTCCTGCTGACACACACGCGCATCGCCGGACCGAGTCTGGAGAGCGGGCCACCCCGGCGGGCTTTGTGTGTCTGGAGGAGAGCGCGCGCATTTGTCTGTGTGTGTGTGTGTGTGTCCGGCCCGGCACATGGGAGCACACTGAGATACATGAATGCATACACAAGGTGTACAGACATACGTGTGTAAAAACAACAGCATACCGCATGTCACGCTCATCTCAGCCTGATGGTTTATACTACAAGCGGCTCTATTCATACGCGTATATGACATAAGGCAGGGCTCAGGGGGCGCGTTGTGCTTGGCAGGATCAGGGTCACGAGTTCGCCGAGCTGATGGGGCTTTCTCCACTTCGTGTCAGTGAGAAGCTACCAGGCTGACCTTTCTGAATTCAGCTGAGGTTTGCACCATCTGCGCCAGTGAGGAGGACTGGCATGGAGAAATCTCTGAATGGGAGCTCTGACGGACCAACAAACAGGGCTTAAAGGAATAGTTCACACAGAAATGAAGATTAATGTCTTTGCAAGATGTAGAGTTTGTTTTCTTCATCGGACAGATTTGGAGAAATTTAGCATTGCTCTCAACCGTGCTCACCAACAGATGCTCTGCAGTGAATGGGTGCCGTCAGAATGAGAGTCCAAACAGCTGATAAAAACATCACAATAATCTACAAGTAACTCCAGGCCATTAATTATTGTTTTGTTAGTAAAAAGCTGTGTGTTTGTGAGAAACTAATTCATCAATCATCATTAAGGCATTTTAACTTTAAAATATTGCTTCTAGCTAAAATATGAGTCTTCTATCCATAATAATGCTTTCTCTATAGTGAAAAAGTTGTCTCGTCTGAATCAGGAGAGATATATGCACAGATCAAGCACTGTTTACGATTGAAAGCAGTCCAAAATGTTTCTCTACAAATTTTTATTTTGATGTGAGAGGACAACATGGGAACGATTTTTTTAACTGGAAGAAGCGTTATTACAGATTATGGACTCTTTTTTTTTTTGGCCAGAAGCCACGGTTTAAAGGGGTCATATGATGTTGCTAAAGAACATTATTTTGTGTATTTGGTGTAATGAAATGTGTTTATGCGGTTTAAGGTTAAAAAAAAAACACATTATTTTCCACATACTGTACATTATTGTTTCTCCTCTATGCCCCGCCTTTCTGAAACACGTCGATTTTTACAAAGCTCATCGGTCTGAAAAGCGAGGTGTGCTGTGATTGGCCAGCTATCCAGTGAGTTGTGATTGGCCGAATACCTCAAGAGTGTGACGGAAATGTTACGCCCCTTACCATAATGTGATGCCTTGTCCCGGCCGGAGCGA